GTGCTGCCTTGTTGCTATCGCAGGCATGCACACACGCATATGCGTGGTGCTGCCTTCCCATCGCATGCGTAGCCATGCATCGCCCAGCTAGTGCCTGCTGGGCATCGCTGATGCTGGCCCTCGCATCCCACGCATTGGCTGGTCGCACAGGCCTCGCATCACGCACCAGCCATGCACCATGCACCAGCCATGGCCAGCCCTCACGCACTGGCACCATGCATCACTCGCACTAGCCAGTGCCTAGCACTGCTTGTGCTTGGTGCGAGGCTTGCGCACACGCACATGCATGCGTGGTGCTAGTGCCTAGAACCTAGCCAGCCATTGCACGCACACGCACCAGCCCACACGCATTTGCACGGCTGCTGTGCGAGGCCAGTGTGCGAGGCTGCGAGGCACACACGCACACACACGCATGCCCCTGTCATTGCGATGGTGTTTGTGCGTGGTGCCAGGCCTTGCGATGGGGCCTAGCAAGGCCTGTGCGCTGCGATAGGGCACCACATGCACCCAGGCACTACGCTAGCATGCTTGCTGGCTGCTATGGGCTACCTGGTGCCTGTGTGGCCTGCGAAGGCTGCCATGCGCACCTAGGCACCCATGCTAGCTTGCGATGGGCTGCTAGGGTGCGCCAAGGCTGCGATGGTGCCTAGCATACCATGGTGCGCCTAGCACACACATGGTGCACCTAGGCATGCTATGAGCTAGCCTAGCCTAGCTACGGCTACGCTCATACTTGTTGCTTGTGATTTTGCGACGCTCGGTATCGACGCCCTAAGCTCGATTTTCGACGTCTGTATTCGTAAAACTCTGTCGACTCATTAAATCCTTTTGGATTAATTCGGCGTCTCGGATCGGAGATTCGATTGGGTTCGACCCGAAGGGTTCAGTTAAGATTAAGCTGTAATATCAATTGTACCTCGATATTACTGATCGGAAGCGGCCTCCACCTAGGCATTCCGATCACTTGACCTTACTGAAGAATTAGCTCTGTAATAATTCTGAACCCTCTATCGGAATAATACACTTGTTGGAAGGACACCATTCCTTTCAAATTAATCCGATTACTTAAGTTGGCATAACCCATAATTTGTCAAAATTTTGCAAAATCGAAAATCGAGGTTTTTAGCCTCGTTAAAATAATTATTTAAAATTATTAAAACGGCAAAAAATATCGCAAAAACATAGCTCAAATTTAAGCAACAGGTCCCCATCCTATGATGCATGGCGCACCATGGCTGCTAGGCAGCAGTGTGCTGGCTGGCTGGGGCTTGCTGCCTCGCTGCCCAGCAGCAGCACAAGCTCGCCAGCAGCTCACGCTTCACATGCTGCGCTTGGTGCTAGCATGCTGCGCCTAGCACAACACACTACGCTGGCCAGCAGCACGCATGCCTGCACGCATGCTGGCGCCTGGCAGCAAGTGCTGGCACTGGCCCCCAGCAGCCCCCGCACACTCTCCTTGCGCGCCATTGCTAGCATAGCCAACATGCGTGCTGCTAGCGAGCCACGCATGCTGGCCCTTCCCTTGCATCATCCTACGCACCACACACGTAGCACCCTACGCACCATGCACCACGCAATGCTCGCACACGCATCAGCCAGTGCCTAGCACTGCTATGCTTGGTGCGAGGCACGCACACACATAGGTGCGTTGTGCTTGGTGCGTGGCCTGCGATGGTGCCCACACACGCAAGGCCAGCGTTGCTTGCTAGCTCGTTGTGCTTGGTGCTGCCATGCGAAGGCACGCACACAAGCATACAGCTGCGTGCTGCTGGGCGATGGTGCACACGCACACGCACACGTGCACACGCATATGCCTAGCGCTATGATGGTGTTGTGCGTGGTGCTATGGCGATAGCCTGCCATGCGCACCCAGGCACCCAGGCTAGCACGCTGCTAGCTGCGATGGGCTGCCTGGGGCTTGTGGTGCTTTGCGATAGGCTGCCATGTGCACGCCTAGGCTGCGATGGTGCGCCTTGAGCTTGTGATGGTGCGCCTAGCACACCTAGTGTGCTTAGGCTTGCGCGTAGCCATGCTAGGTGCATGCTAGCTCGAACTAGCCTACCATCCACATGGTTAGACCATTGTGGTGCTACGGCTACACTCGTACTTGTCGCTTGTGATTTTGCGACGCTCGGTCTCGACGCCCGAGGCTCGATTTCCGACGTCTGTATTCGTAAAACTCTGTTGACTCATTAAATCCTTTCGGATTAATTCGTCGTCTCGGATCGGTGGTTCGATTGGGTTCGACCCGAAGGGTTCAGTTAAGATTAAGCTGTAACATCAATTGTACATTGATATTACTGATCGGAAGCGGCCTCCACCTAGGCATTCCGATCACTTGACCTTACTAAAGAATTAGCTCCGTAATAATTCAGAACCCTCTATCGAAAGAATACACTTGTTGGAAGGACACCATTCCTTTCAATTCTTTGGGCCAGGGATTTGGTGGGAAACTCGTTCGATGTGTAATAAAATAAATAAGCAATTCAATTGTCTATTGCTTGAGCTGTATGCTGTATGCATGTAAACAGGTTCAAAGAGATAAGTTGTGTGATGCTAGGATGCAAGCATGTTAGTGTGTTTCGTTTAAACTTATGTACTCAGCATTGCTGATTGTGTGTTTGTATGTTTGTTTGGCCTTGTCTTTATCTTGGCCCTACGACGACCCATTTCTTATGGCGCGTAGTGGGGACAAAGTAAAGAGAAGCTTTTCAGGTGATGAAGCATATTCATGTTGGGGCATGAGTGAAGAGTGAATCTTGCCTAGTTACTATAAGAATATGATGTGTTTTATTTGGTTTGATTATTATTTGATTGCTTGTGAGACTTACACAATGTTTTAAATATTCGATTTGAGTTTTGAAAGGGCCTACAATGGTTCCAAGTTGTAGGTTGATTTCGTTTGACTTTGGTTTGAATTTACTTTCGTTATGTTTAACTTTTGAAGTTTGTTTTATTTTGAATGGTTTATTCAATTTATTTTTTTTAAACGAGTCTTCCACCGTGTGTCTTTGATAATTGCCTTAGCCGTTATCACGCTGGCGGTAATGTATTAGAATTTCCTATTCCGTATTTCAAAATGGCAAAACAGGTATTTTAAAGGAAAGAAATTTCTAGGGTGTTACAACACATCTACCCCTTCACACACCCATACAAACCTGAAACCACCTACATATGCCGTGCAACCACACCACCCAAAACCTAAAATCTACCCTACAACCACCACACAACCACCCCATAACACACCCACACAAACGCAAAACCACTTATCCTAGCTAACCAAAAAAATTATTTAAGACCTACCCTCGAAAATCATCCAGCCACCACTATCCCTTACCAAAAAAACCCACCCTCCTCACCCTAAATTCATTCATAAATGACGATTCAACCACCAACATATCAACGCGAGCCTCCCATTGTCGTTGCTCACACCCAGCTTTGCCACCTCGATGATGTGGTTAGTTTCATGGGGAGAGAGAGAAGAAATTAGATCAGATTAGAGGAGAGAGAAAAAAAAATGGGGAATTGAAGATGAAGAACTTCATAATAGGGTTTGGTTTTTAGAGAAGTTTGATGAAGGTAAATGTTGGGGGAATTAATGAGGTGAATTGAATCGATTGGTTAGGAGAAATAATTAGACTAGTTAAGTTTTTTTAAGAAAATTAATTAAGTTTGATTAGAATTTTATTAAGTTTTGTTTTAAGTATCTAATTAAATTTGCGAAAATACAAGTTGATCTCTGAGATTAACAATTTTTGTTTATCACATGTCATTTAAATAAAAAAAAAAACTTTTTTCTTAAAAGTGCCCCCCACAGTAATGATGACTGAATAATGTTGTTGATTTATTAACCAAAATGTCATTTGATAAACATTTTTTGTTTATCCCAAAGATTAACCTAGGTTTCCTCATTAAAGTTATGAAAATTTTAGTAAGGGTTTTTCAATAATTTGATTTCACTGCCTCCGTTTTTAAATACTTGCTCCATTTCTCTCGGGCACGTATGTCGATGCTAATATTTGGTTAATAATATCTTTAACTATCTATAAGTATTAATTCTAATAATTAAAAATTAATAATCTATTCATTGAGACGAATTTAACAAGTACCCACAAGACTATATTTTTTCTTATGTATAAATTACAAACATTAGTCAAATGAGGACAAATGAATAATACAAAAAGTAGAAATAGAGCAAATATTTAAAAACGAAGTGAGTAAACTTTACTAAAAATAAAATTTTGGAAATTTTCAGATAATATATAGTGGATGTTTTTGACAAATATTGCAAATAATATGCAAAAACTTTTGTATACATCCGATGTACTGTAATATTACTGTACACATCGAGGTAACTTTATTGAATATAGGGTAACTTTTATCAATACAGTATAAATAACTTTTATTTATATCAGGGTAATTTATATATAATGGGTAACGCCACAAGGACGGATGATGAGAATCAATTACAAGATCACCTGGAATCGGGAGGAGAGCTCTAACCACTTGAGCTATCCCTCACTTTCTAAGGTAACTTTATAGTGGATCTACAATATCGAGGAATTTTAAAGGGAGGAATGTTATGTATTTGTAAATACATAACAATGATTAAAATATTCTAAAAACAAATGATAGAGAGAGAAAAGAGGAGAGATAGGAAGAGAGAGGTCTGTAGGTGGACCCCACCTTTTTTTTTTGTCAATTTGTCTCACGTGATGGGGGACCACATGTTGATTGTTCCTCTGTAAGCTTATATATTACCATTGAATCTTCCGTGGAACTATTTATGCATAACTTTAGTACAATTGAATGCATATATAATACCACTATATGCGTATATAATATCACCTTATGTCCAATGGTATTATTTGATCATTTAATGATACCACTCTCGTACATATATGTAATTACATAAATGTCTCTTATTATGTATTTCTACGTGCATAACATTTCTTCATTACTACTTCCTCTACAATGTCCAATTTTTTAAAAATGTTTGTCCAATAATATAAATATTCCCTTGCCATTGGTGGGAGGCTTAACCGAAAACAAATCAATGGTCAATGGAAGCAACCAGAAGATGCGAAGCAGTGTTGGATAGAATCCAGCGCTTGCCACTCTCCAAAATCACTGCCTCTTGCAAGGGCACTCTTCTTCGTCTCGTCAATTCTGAGCTCCGCTTTCTTTCTCGTTTTCCTCTTCCTACTTCCACCTCTTCTTCATCATTCAGGTTTTCTTCTCTTTTCCTTCTTTTACACAATTATATTTAATCTTTTGGTTTTTGGGTTTTGTGCTTTGCATTTTGTTATTTATTTGTTTAATAGTATATGTAATCATAACTGTTCTGTCATTTCCATTAGATAATACATTCGAACCACCTAATTTGGTTGAATTAATGTACAAAGTGTTTATAGAAGTTTGAGGATGAAATTGCATTATTATTGACATTAGGATGTTACTTTAGTTGCTAAATTGCACTTAAATTCATTCGTTGAGTGCAATGTTTAATTGTTGGACTTTTGTGTTTGGTTGATTTTTGAGTATTTAGTGGGGAAGGCTGTGCAAAATTACAATATTTAAGGGGTTTTACCAATAGATATGAGGAAAAAGGAGGAGCAAATGATGTAAAAAGTCGAGTATTTCGGAGATTACCTCATTATTTGTTAGAGACTATATTTTAAACTGGCTAAAGGAGGGCATATGGGAACAACATGGGTGCTGGTGATAACTTGACAATAGAAAGGGTTGTAGTCCTATACTTCTGTAATGTAAAGCTAAGAAGGTTGAATTTTAGTGGATTTCAAAATGAATGAAGATTTTAGTGGTGGCTAAGGATGCTATGGACATGATGTGCTTCGAGTAAGCACCGGGGATTATTCCTTTTTTTTGTTTTTTGTCTAGGTGAGGTGATTTCAATGCCCACATGCACAGGCGGCTAGGCGCACATTTTATTTTATTTTTTAATTTATTTTCCACAATTGTTTTTCACAGATTTCAATCGCCTCAGTGCACCTTGGACTTATTTCATTTTCAAACTAGACTTCCTTCAATCCTTTTTACATTATTAGAACATGTCAAAATGTCAAATGGATTGAGTTATCTATGGTTGAAGTATAAGATGTCAATATGTCATCATAAGAACCTTTTAATGCTGAGATGTCTTTGTCAACTGATTGGCATCATTCACACCTTTTCTTTTACATATAGCCATCATCTTATATGCAATCTACCCGCGCAATTATATACAATATATGGTTATGCTTTTGGAGAAGCAGATTCATGTTGTCATTATTAATTGGAAGGTTTATGCATTCTTTTTGCAGCTGTAATGTGGGCTATTTTGAGGCCGTTGTTCACATACTTCAACAGCCATACATAATGGGAGTGTCACGTGTGTGCAAGCCTATTCCTTTGTCACCTACAACTAGCCATAGGGAGAAAACCGATTCACAATGTGAAGCTGTACATGTTGATATTGTTTGCAGTCTCCATAACAATCCCACCTGGTTTATTGTATCTGATCGGAACCCGAAGTACATTACTTGGGATAGTTCAGGGAGAAACAAGAGTCTGAAAATGCGGATTGAACAAATAGTTGGCGCTGCTCAGTTTTCCTTGGTACTGAAGCCTGTTTCTATTGTTCTCTTCTTCGCAAATGGACTTGACGTTACAATTCGTGAGAAGCTGTTGATGAATTTTGGATTCAGAGGAGTCAATTTGGATTTTTCACATTTTGACTTTGTTTTCTCTGATGCATTAGAAGGTGAATGGGTCAATGTTCTTGGAAAATCATATCAAGGGGCATGCACTCTGATTCTGGATGTTGATCAATGTGCAAAGCCTTGTAAAAGTATTGATAGTGTAGCAGAGTTGAGTACTAGTGGTGTTCATGAAGAGTTTGCAGAGGCATACAGTGAGTTGGAATTGGGATCTTCATTCCTTTATCTAATTATGAACATGAACGATTGGTCTTTGGATGATGAAGATTTGCTGTCATGCAGAAGAGAAGACCCCTTAGGAGATTATGACATAGTCAATTTTGATACAACAGTGTTAATTGCTATTATATCGGGCATAAGTAACGGTGGTGCTGAAAAGCTTTTGGAAAAACCGGAAGATGAACTAAGGCACCGATTTAAAAACAACACCGAGTTCGTGATTTCTCAGGTATATTTTTGTTTCATTTTCATTTTGTACCTTGTTAGTTTTCCTAAAATTGTCATTCTTTCATGCTGAATGGATACTCTCTATATCCTTTAATGTTCCATTCCAGCGGATATATTCTTATGTCTCATCACTTATGTTTTCTTTGATAAATTTCTATTCCTTTTTGGTTACTTTCCTTGATATTTTCTGTACTTGCTGGGTGACTGCAGTCATTTTTTTTTTAATATTCCATCTCAGTCTCCATAGGATAGACTGACTAGATCTTATCTTTCAGCCCTATTTTTTTCTTCCCTCTCACTGTCATGGAGGATATCATACTTCATCTCAAACAGTTAGTTTAAATAAAAAGTCTAGAATAAGAAGTTAATTTGGCTGCTGTTGCTTGCAGCTGATGAAAGTGCCTGTAGTGATTCATTTTCCTTTTATGTGATTAATCAAATTTATATATATATGTTTTAAGTGTCTTTGCAGTATCAATATAGTATTTACCACAGGCTTTTCCAGTGTAGCTGGGGTAGTTTGTGTTGCACCTTTAAGGAGTGTGGTGAAGTACATTTTTTGGCTGTTTCATGGGTGATCTTGGAACTTGGTTTTGCATTTTTATGCTATTTGGGGTCAAATGTCTTCTCTACCATCTTTATGAGACAGTTTGTGTATATACATTTCTTTTTGCTCATCATGGAACACTTGGCTTTCCTTGAATTGCTGTAGGAGTTCTTTTAACCTTTTAGCTTGATTTGGTGGATCTTGGTCCCCATCCTTGTAGATCTTGCTTTTCACTTAGTGGAAAACTTTTTCTTACCTTAAAAAAGTAATTGGGCATATTTTGTGTTCTTGGTGCTAATCTTTTTCTTACTAAGACTTGCATAAGTAGCATGATTGATAAAATCCAGAAGCTTACTGATTGGCTGAACTTTTAATGTGAACAAAAGTAAAAAAAATTCCTGCATTTACTTTAGGCCTTTCTGGCACAGTTGAATTGAAGACTTCTTTAGCATCAGTGATGTACTATGGGTTTTCACAGATAAAGTTTCTTCTAATGGTGTTGAAACATGTCTTTTCTTACCCAGGCAAAGTCTGAAATTGAGAGTCCAATACATGAGGCAATGTATTCTGCATTATCTGGCAAAAAGGGCATTGTATGTAAAAGTGTTCATTTAGAATTTATGGAGTTGGTTTCTATGTTTGGAGGCCCTAATGAGAAGACAAGAGCCACTCAATTGGTCAAGCTTCTCAAGTAAGCTTTTTGTTTACCTATGCTCTTCTCCCGCTTGTGCAATACATCAAAATCTTGGATTTGTTGATTTTCTGTTATGCTTTTGGTTATTTGATCTAAATTGCCCTTCTACTTTGATCTACTTCATGGTCACATTTTTGTTTAGTGCCATGCCATACCATTGACTTTTATCTTTTTTTTTTATCTTGGGGGGGGGGGGGGGGGGAGGGGTGGGGAGGCATTTATGCTGCATACCCTTCACCCTTGCATTGCACTAAGCTTTTTTTTCGCTCCACTTTACCATTTTAAGTAGATTATTTCTAGTAAACCCTTGAACCAAAAGGCAACAAACAAGCGTAGTACTTTGCATACTGAGACATTCATTACAATAATTCTTTGTTTTTATTGATTGTTGAATCAAGAGATTTTTTTTTTTTTTCACTTTTTGTTGCTTTTTATTTTTGTGTGACTGTGAGTACTTTGGCTTTCTTTAAAATCTTCCTCTTCTCCTTTATTTTTTCTTTTTTGGTTAACTTTGTTGCTTAGGCAAAGTCCTGCCGAAAGCAATGCACAGTTTACTTCTCCCTCCATTCCTTAAAGTTTGCCCCACTTTCCTTTTAAGGCCATCCCTAAAAGATTTCCTCACACCATAAATGTCCACAAGGGAATACAACTTTATCTTCACCAAAATCATAGAAGATCCTGCCAGTTTTGGGGGATACTTGGACTTCCGATGCATAAGCTCCACATATGTGTGTTTCCCCACATTTTGTCTCTGTGGACCGAGGAGAAGGGGGGCTCGTCGGGAAGAAGATTGTACGATGAGAGAAGCAAGGAGGTGACAAGAATTCAAAATCATGTTTTTGCTATCTTTCCTAAACCCGTTTCTTAGTTGTTATTGGAGGAAGTGGACCCAGCCACAATCTTTTCTCAAGGACCCGGAGATGTTTACAAATGCTTGTTCCAGAGGTCAAGACACCCCTGCAGAAAGTTTGTATTCAAGAGAACTATGCAAATGACAGTTAGAGTCAGGGTTTATGTAAATTGGCCAGTTGAATTTAGATTGTTTACTAGTTAATGCTTTTACAGTTTTGGCATCTTGGGAAACCATTTCAAGGTCTTGCGGGAAATTTTTGCGCTAAGAGATCAAAACAAGGAAAAAAGTTGGGGGGGGGGGGTTGATTAATGTTAAAGTCCATATTTGTGAGGTAAGGAATTCCTTGATAATAGTTTTAGACTTGTAAGATTCTCCATCGGTTACTTAATGATGTCGTAGTAGATTAGTATTACATTTGTAAGGAACTAGGCACCGGAATTAGTTTAGTAAGTTCATTAAGTTTAGATGAGATTAGGGCTAATGAGTTGTATTGACAACTAAAATATATTTAGACAAGTTCTAACTAGTTCAGACAACTGTTAGACCAGATCTTAATGTCAGATGGTTTTAGTTCAGTTTAGGGTGAGATGAATGCAATTATGCAATCACTAAGTGGTTTTGGGGTGATTGTGTGAACTTCGATCAATATATAGCTGAAACTCCTCAACTCTGTGCTTTAAACATCTGAATACATCTGCATGTGTCTCCCTATAAAGTTTATTGAGTTTTTATTGATAGCTGGTAATAATCTCACAGGGTTGTCCCTGATACTCCATCACCACGCATGATGGCCCTCCCAGTCACCAGGAAGCTAGCCATGAAGAATAAGGTTACTTTTGGCACTGGAGATTATTGGGGTGCTCCAACTTTGACGGCGAACATGGGATATGTGAGAGCTGTCTCCCAAACTGGAATGTCTTTATTCACTTTTGAACATAGACCACGGGCTCTTGTTGGTGACTAGAATTTTCAAAATAACTTTAAGAAAGTTGCTAGATCATGTTTAGAATTACCATCTGTTATCAGAAGCCTGGTCACCTGGTCATATGAGTTTTTATATCAACCCTCCTGTATGTTGTAACAATCAAATGCTTTTCACTTAGAAACTGCAAACTTTAGAGGGAAGTTATTAATTCTTGAACACTAACGCCAGTTGGTGTGGCCTCCATCTATCCCTAGCAGCTAGAGAAAGAGGGAAGAGAGTTTGTATTTGCCCTTTTCTTCGGTGGTGCATGTTTGCAGAGTTAGCCCTGCTGTACAACAATACTTCTTATGGCATATCGTTGCCTTGCTGAAAAATATGTTGGGAGAGTTGACAAAGCTGATAAATTTGACAAAATCTAGGTAAGCTGTAACATTTCGTCTTGCTTTACTTGAAATACTGTACAGTTAACAAAAAGTACCTACTGTGGAATTTGCAGAATTATATATTACGTATGCAACCATCTCGTGCATAAATGATTATTTCATCAGAGCCTCTTGGCAGATTGTTAGTATGATGTTCCTGTTGAGATATATTCTCTGCCATACTTTCTTTTCCTGTAAATTTTCCCTCCCCCAGTTCCTTTTCTGCTTATTTTGTTGAATTTGCAACAAAGGTGATATCATTAAGGTCCTATTGGCCAGCTGAAATAGCGGAAGGAAAGGTCATTTATTAGGAGCAGCCATGGCTTCTAGAAAATTGTGTTGGAGTCGGACTCTCAGAATATAATCATTAGCCTTAGTGCTCCTGCCTCATATTTTTTCTGATTCAGATTCAGTGTTGGAAATTGCTTTTGCAAGTACTCCTAGTTATGATTCGATTGCTTGGTCTCTATTGAAGAGAAATGGGAATTATGTAGCCCATCACCTAGCTACGCTAGTGTCATTTTGGTATGAACAACATTGAGAATTGCATTGCTCGACACTTTATTATTACTTGAGTGTTATATTCACTAACTTTTCCCTGAGCAAAAAAGACCCTATTTGGCTAGAACTGTAGAGGAATATACTATATTATACATCCTGAAATTACTACTGTAAATTTTCAAAAGAAAACTACTCGATAGTAGAAGATAATCAGTATCTACCATACAGTATGAAGCATTTAAGTAATTTTGTCAACTTCAGTAAAGTTTTGGTCCATTTTAAAAGAGCTAAACAAGGTTGGGTAACAGCGTTGCCAAATTTATAAATTTATGATGTGCTTTTTAGGCCGTATAGGATTGTTTGGGACTTAAGGGGTGGTGTTGGTGAGGAGGAAGGTGGATCTTACATGGAGGATTCTCTGGGCTTATGCCCTTGAGTCGAGCTCCTATGTTGAGCATTCAGACAATTTAGCGATAGTTGGGCCAACTCATTTGCAATTTGAACGTGTAGTTAAGTAAATTGCAGGGAAGTTAAAACCCGAAAATTTATTTGGTTATCGTAGAATAGTAAAATTTTCAGTTATGTAAACAAAAGACACGAGTATACTAAGTTCAGAAAAAGCTTTTATAGTATACAAATACAAATCAAGAGAATTTAATTTGGGAAGGAAAAAAAAAAAACAAAAGAAAGAAAATAAAGCTGAGATATACATGAACAAAAATGACAAATAATTGAAGATATTGCTAGATTAATTCATTATTTCTTAGTTGCTTAAATCTAGGAAAATGAATCGATTCAAAGTTTCACCCTGATTTTGCAGTTGCTAGCTTTAATACTAATGGCATTATTGGAGCTCAAGCTATCCACTGTCAATTGGCAGTTAACCAAAAACATCACTTTCCCAAGCTTCATACTCTGGACTTTAATCGAAACAGGTTGATCCACTTTCAGCTCCAAAGGAATGTTTCCCATCTGCTGTTGCTGCTGCAACGCTTGCATTAACGTGTTCCCATACTGGTTTTGCCCCGAAAGTGAGACATCAGTTGCTGTTGTATTAAGCGGACTCTGATAAAACGCTGGAAAAGACCCTTGACACAGGTTAGTTTTCTTGTACCAAACACTCATTTTACCTCCTTTTTCATAGTATATTCCAATCTTTTTATTCGGGTTCTTTGCTGTTACCCTCACGTTGAACCTAGCATATAGGCTAAGGTCCAAGTTGAGCCTGAAGTCGGTTATTCTTAGCCTGTCAACCGAGTAGCTAGGAACTTTAGGGTGAAAAACCAAGAAGAAAACGAGGGCTAGAATCCCAACAAGAAGTAAGAAGGTAACCAGTAAAGAAAATATGCAACAGATAAGTCTGCAACAGCAGCTTCGGCCCTTTGGCTGTCTAGCAAGAGAACGAAAAGGCGGTAATGACTGTGGATAAGGGGGTGGATTGTTGCCCATTGTGTGCCCTTTATCTGATGAAATTGAGCTGTTTCTTGGAACTAAAGGTACTGTAGGTTTTGTTGCCTGGTCTATGACAATGGAAGTTGGATAGATTCTCGGGTTCATCGGTATCCGATCTGAAGGCATACCGAAACTTAAGGAAATATACTGATAAATTCCGTCCTTAATTTGTAAACCAAAAACGTAAAGCAAGATACACAAGTTAGTTTGAGTATGCTGGTTGACTTCTTTGTAAGTATATTTATGATTAATTGTTGTAAAGGAGTTGTTCTTAAGTCTTTTAAGTTAGGTTACCTGTTTCATTTGCCTTTTACCTAATTCGGCTAGTAGAGCCGCAGATGAAGCCTTAGTTAGAGAGTGGTTGAGCTAGGAATTCGTTTGTCAGCTTTTATTTGTTCTCATTATTAGCGGCTCTAGACTCTGTACAACATTTGCTATTTATATTTGAAATGAGTAAGAAAATTTGTCAAAAATAAGCCAATCTTTGTGAGATTAGCTCAAAATAAGCTAAGTTTTTTATAAACTAAAAACAAGTTCACATTTTATAGGATATCTTCCCAAATTGAGTCATGATTTGTTGGGCTTTTGTTGGTGGTGGTTGGGGGGGGGGGGTGGGAACTACTTGTTTAGGTTAAATATGACAGAAGTTATAATGTTATTGGTTCATTTTAAGATTTTAATATTCCATCTGTATTTTATTACTTGCTTCATTTCTCCGGACACGGAGTTTTAGAAGGAATAGTAGAAAGTATTATTTTATGATAGAAATGGGGTTGGCTGAAGAACAAAAAAAAAATCCGAAAAAACAAAAGTGAGTATAAGTGGGGATAAAAAAAAAATAAAAGTATTAAAATATAATATGAAGGGTCCACTAGTGGGGAGAAAAATATGGAGTAGTATAATATTGTTAAAAGTTTCAAACAAAGGAAATGGTGCAAGTTTTAAAGTATGGCCGTAAAAAGAAAGTGAAACAGGTAATAAAATATTTTATCTTTCAATTTTTTTCTTTTTAAATCCCCTTCACCCTTATTGAAAAGCCCCACCCCTATGCCGGCCACAGCACACCGGCTGACCACTGTCAATCATCCCCCCCCCCCCCCCCCGCCCACCCATTGCTGATCCCTTTCTTTCCTCCCGCTGCCGCCTCTTCTCCTCCCCTCTCTATCTTTTTTTTTTTTACAAATTTCTAGATGCAGGCATTTTTCGGGTAGGTGTATGTTGGTTTTTTTTTGGGGTGGATGGGGTGGGTTTCGGTGGTTAGGGTTGGGTTTCAAGGTAGATATGGTGATATCTTAGTAGTTAGTGTATGGATTTGAGGTGGGTATGGTGGTTTAATTTTCAAGTAGGTTTGGGGGTTGGTCTTTGGGTTTGGGTTAGTCTAGGCCGATGAAGGCCGGGGTTTAGGGTGGGAGAAACGAAAGGTGTCGACCGACGTTCACATAAACGGAAGAGATATGGCTCAGGATTGGGGAGGGCTTGTGGTGGGAGGGTAGAGGAAGAAGAAAGGGATCAGGGTGGGGGAGATGGTCCATGCAGTGGCTAGCGAGAGGTAGGGGTGGGGGGCTAGTCAGTTATGGAGGTGGGTTTTTTGTTTAATCAAAAAGTTTTATTAATAATTAATTGAAATAAATAATTTTTAATTAAAAAAATCAAAAGAAAGTGACTTCTTTGGGAAGTTGTAGGTCATTTGACCTTTTTAAAGAAAAAACCGTTTAAAAGTTATATTATCAGGGTGGGGGAGGTGGTCCTTGTAGTGGCTGGCGAGGGGTAGGGGTGGGGGGCTAGTCAGTAATGGAGGTGGGTTTTTCGTTTTATAAAAAAGTTTTATTAATAATTAATTGAAATAAATAGTTTTTAGTTAAAAAAAATTAAAAGAAAGTGACTTCTTTGGTAGGTTGTAGGTCATTTGACCTTTCTACAGAAAATATCGTTTAAATTTCAACTTATTCTTAGTTAATGTTAGCTTCTTTGGTAAGGTGGCTTATTTTGAGCAAACCGTTAAATATTAGCTTATTCATTAACAAATTTTCCTTAATTTTAAATTTGATCTCCATATAAAAAGAGTAGAGTAAAGCATACACTGATTACACTTAGAGCATCCTTATTGCGAACTTAAGGTTGCCCGTGCCAAATTTTAACTCTCTTTTCCTCCCTCCACCTTATTTTTCTTTCTACAATCTCAATTTCCACTAATATTACTATGTACCTTTGTATAATTTTTTTTTCTTTTTTTCAATTAATGAAATTGTAATTTATTATATTGGAAAAGTATTGCTCAAAAAAATATTGAAAAAGTAATGCCATGTATTAAATTTGTACAAGAGAAAGTATTAATCAATCATCAATATATATAATAATATATAATATAATAATAAAAAACACACCACGAATGACATGTGTCATTTCTTAGTGCTGTTTTTTGCCTCCAAAAATATTTTTTTTTAAATAAAAAAGTTCTTTATTTCTTCTTTCCATATATTTTTTTTTCACTGACAATTTCTTCACAAATACTTATATGCGGCTGCGTGTGGCCAGCCATTATAGGGGTTACTTCGTTAGTATAATAGGGGTTACTCCGTTAGTATAATAGGGGTTACTTCGTCAATGTTAAAGGGGTTACTTTGTTAGTGTTATAGGGTTACTTTTAGTCAGTATTATAGGGGTTACTCGATCACTATAATAGGGTTACTTGGTCAGTGTTATAGGGGTTACTTTGTTCTTTTATAAGTGGTCACATGGTGTGGCCGGCCGACCACACACAAAACGGGCGACAATTTCTTTACAGACAATAAATATATTTGTATTGACTTAATAGATTATTAATTTCAATTAAATATTCTTAGTATTCATATTAATATTATTTGCTAAAAATTGATTTTTTTAAATTATATTTCAGTCAAACAGATTTAATTCGTAGTACAAAACATCTTTATTTAATTTTGGATTAAATTGACATGAACCGTTGAGAATATTTTCTATTACATTATAGTAACATAGTAAGTGTGTATAAAAAAATTTCCTACACATTTTGACACATGAATTATTAAAGATTTGTTAATCTTTTGACTTTTTTTTTTCTTACCCATGCATTCATATAATTTTTAGATCAAAACAAAACAACAATAATAATTAAAAAAAAAACGACATATCCATATGTATAGTATTTTTTATTTTTTTTTGAAGAAATATGTAGAGTATATAATAACAAGATAATATTAAAACATACATACAAAAAAAAAAAAATGACATGCAAAATTTTTGAGCCAAACCTTTTTTAAATAAATAAAAATAAATAAACATTCCTACTTTTTTATTTTCATTCTCAATTCTTTTTATTTACCACTCAGCAATGAAAAATATCTTTACTTGATTTTCTTTTAAATAACATTATAATAATAAGAAAATTATTATCTAGCTAAATAAGTATAAAAAATATTTTTGTTACCATATATACATTTATATGACATATTAAAACTATACTAAATAATATTTTTTTAATTTAGATACCCTAACAATATTAAATATATTATTTTTTTGTTTTAAAAAAATATTATAAAATCAATTCATTAATAAATAGTCATATGATACGTATTATCATTATAAAATTTTATTAAATCAATGGGTTATTTATACTCAGATCATGTAAAAATATATTTAAACGTATTTTATACTATAATCTATATATTATAATGATACAATAAAACATATACAAAAAATAGCACAGGTTACTTATTTAAAAATGTGCAACCAAAGCCTTTTTAAAAGAAAAAAAAAAGCATAATAATCATCATTACTCCACATTATTATTTCTTTTATTCTCTGTCATTTTTATAACCACTTATCAATGAAAAATAAGACTTATAATTTTATTATCTAACTAATTAAACATACAAATAAAGGTAGTAATTTATTATATCTTTGTTACCTAATATTATAAAAATATATTTATTACCTAATATAATGTAACACCCCGACCCCAAACAAATTAGGGAGGGGCTTATTGTCACGAAATGCGCATCAAGTGCCAACAACTGTCCCCACAAACCAACACAAGTCAAGACTACTCCCAGCCAAGCACGCTTAACTGTGGAGTATCTTAGCATATGAGCTCCCTAAAAGGAAGATACATCTTGCTAATATGAGTAATATATCAAATCCTTTTAAGGCAATCATGAGGGGTATTACATACACCCCTACTTGAGAACGACAACGCCCTCGTTGCGCCTGGAAAGCTAGGGACTCCAAGATTACGCGTAATGGCAAGTGGGTAGCCAAAGTGTTATATCCACTCTGGTTATGGCCAAATAACCTAGAATTCTCCTCTCCTCTGCTAGGCGGCTGACATAGGATTAATTATCCACGATTAGCACGCGGTCGCAAGGTTGCTCTGATATCATTTGTAACTACCCGACCCCAAGGTTGCTCTGATATCATTTGTAACTACCCGACCCCAAAAAAATTAGGGGGCCTATTATCACGAAATGCGCATCAAGGGTCAACAACTGTACGTCCCCACAAACCAACACAAGTCATTTCGGCCCATTTTGTCCTCACTCATGCGCACCCCGAGAAAACTTTCCAAGAGGTCACCTATCCCAAGACTACTTCCAGCCAAGCACGCTTAACTATGAAGTAACTTAGCATATGAGCTCCCTAAAAGGAAGATGTATCTTGTTGATACGAGTAGTATATCGAATCCTTTTAAAGCAATCATGAGAGGTATCACATATTATACATCAAATTGACATATTAAACATACAATAGTAATTCCCGTCCAAAAAAAAATAAAAAAAATTAAGGTAATAATTTATTATAAAATTGAAATTTTGTAAAACCGTGTTATATTTAAGTTTTTAATACATAAAATGAAATTATAAATTTTTGTTATGTTAATAATGATAATTGTTTAGGGTAAAACTACCCCTATCCACGTGGACCAATCGCGTGCTAACACGTGTCAGCATCAGAGAGGTTCTAAGAGAACCTCTCCTCTGGTGACACGTGGCACTCCAACCCTTGAAAGGGGAACTGATCCCCTTGCACTATAAATAGAGGAAAATCCTCATTTATTGTACATTCATAAATATACATACTAAACCCGAGCAATATTAATTGCAGAATTCTCTCGGAATTCGAGAGAAAAACCTTAACATTCCGTACTTTTATACATCTGGATACGTTCTAACTTGATCGTCAGAGGCTGAACTCCACCCAACCGGATTTTTCTGTGGTTTTGCAGGTACAAACGGTCGGCGCACATTCTTGGAATCATAACTCTCCCGAGGGACTTTAAAAACCCCGAAACATTTGGCGCCGTCTGTGGGGAAGTAATTCTGAGATGGCTTCACAGCAGTCTGTACCGCTTGCTGATGAGAACCGGCCTTTGGCCGGAGTAGAGGTCTATACAGAACAAGAGAGTGGTGATGACTTCGATGTCGACACCTATGTGGCCCCAAACGGGTCACTCAGAACAAGACGCACCCGTTCCAAGGAAACAAGGGAACGAGGCGAAGACAAAGCTAGTCCAAGCAACCCAACCGTCAAGCCGGCTGGGCAACCC